GGGTCCCATTGTAACATGTAAATTAATTCTATGGTTGACACTTATCTCGAAATGCATGGTCAAGAAGGCATGTGTACAGCCCCATCTTAAATTTGCCAACGAACATATAAATGATTGAGAGAAGGCCTGGGAGAAGGTGCTGTGGTCAGCTCTTTGGTATCAACTCAACCTGAGATGTTTGGAGGAAGAAAAATGCTGAGTGTGAACCAAAGAACATTCAGGCACGGAGGTGGAAACATTATGGTTTGGGCTGTTTTTCTGCTAAGGGTAGAGGACGACTTCACCACACTGAGGGTCAAATGGACAGAGCCGTGTGCTGTAAAATGTTGGATGAGAAAAGAGAACAAAGGAGCAGTTAAAGAAGAAGAACATTAAGTTCATAGAGTAACCAAGCCAGTCGCCACACCTCAGTCCTACAGAGAATCTGTGGAGGAATCTCAACGTTCAAGTTGCCAAGCGTCAGCCACAAAACCAGAAGGATTTAGAGTTTCTGTAAAAAGAGGAGTGGGCCAAAAATATGGAGCTCTGTGCAAATCAGGAAATGACTTACTGCTGTGCTTACCAACAAGGGTTTCTCCACCAAGACCTACGTCATGTTTTACTTGGTTTTACCCAGTTGATTAAATAATTATAACTTTTGTGTTAAGTGTTTTTTTGCCCAGTGTAAACAAACTGAAGTCATCTAGGCCTCCTCCGCCCCGGGGGCCTGGTTTTTGTGCTTGGTTGCGTCATGTTTGTGAAACACATTTGTTTTTTAAGAACACACCATGTCAGCACAAAGATAAAAACAAGACGTTGGCTCCAGATCAGATAACATGACCGGTCTAACATGTCGACATTTGACTTAAGCAGCACAATCTTCTTAAAACAGCTGCAGTTTCATCAAGATTGGGGGCAATTAAGTTTTTCCCTTCAATAATACAGTCGCTAATTCTTGTGCAATTAAAGACTTAAGTAGGCTTCAGCCAAACTTGCAGACTTACTGGGTCCTTTGTAAATGGTGCTTCATTTAAGTACAGAGGAAACCAAACTGTAACACACAATAAATATTATAATTCTCTCCAACTGTTCTTATTAACAAGGCTGTTTTATGAATGGACGATTCATTGGCCATTAAGGCTTGGAGCTATTTCTTCATGCTGCTCAAAAAATGAAGGAAACACTTAAATTAAACAGTGAAACATTCAAATTGAAAATCTTTACCAATACACAGAGGTCATTTACTGAGAACAAAATGATGTAACAACACTCAGCACTTCATGCTCAACTAAAATCATCAAAAAGTGCAATTTCCGAATCACTATTAAATTATTATTATTTTTGCCAAGAAAAAGAGGGAAAAGTGCAACAACTTATTTGAATGTACACAAATAAATGGAAATAAAGTACACAAAGCAAAAACAGAGTTTGTACTGTTTTAGTGTAACGAACAAAATCTGACCCTGCTTTCAGAAACACAGACCCAAACCATGACAGCAGTGTGTTTACAGATGGCTGTAGACACTCACTGTTGTAGCTCTGTCCTAACCTCCTCTATACTTTCTGACAATGATTTGACCCAAAACTTTCAAAGTTCATTACTCCATAAAACTGGTTGCCACTGATTTTTAGGGGTTTTTTAGTGTGTAATTTGGCACATCTCAGCCTTTTCTCCCAGTTCCCCTTTCTTAAGAATGTCTTCTTGACACTTTAGATCAGGGATGTCAAACTCTTGGAGCAGTGAAACTCACTGAAAGAAGTTTAACTGCACTCTTCATCCCTAAGATGTCTTAGTTCTAGTATTAGTACATCTCAGTTTTTCTCCATAACAGCAAACGCTTACTCAAAAAAAAAAAAA